CGGGTGGAATTTGTCACCCGTGGGTGAGTGGGGGCGGGGCCCCGCAAATTGACGGGGGCGAGGGAAGTAATTCACCCGCGGGTGACCCAGCGGAGCCCCGAGGATATAAGCTTCTAGAGAAAATATCACCTTTCAAGGCCCATCTGGCCAATTTAGGTGGGGATATATAAGTTGTAACCCTAATTTCACCTACTCCTCCGGACCTCGTTCTCCCAGCCGGCCGCCACTACCTAGGACCATGACTGCAACTTGGCATCTCCTGCGACTCGTGAGCGGCGAACACACCAGGCGTCGCTCGCTCGCCACGACCGCCAGCGCCGCTAGCTCCCTAGCACAGCCATCCGCCTTCCCTTCTCCTCCGGCATCCATCGCAAGAGAAATCCGCCTTCCCTTCTCCCCCAGTGCGCGCCTTCCGTTTCTCTAGATCCGTCCGCAAGATTCCCCGCACGGGCGCGCGGCCGTCCACCGTCCCTCCTCCTCTGGCCTCCGTTGCAAGAGACGCCACCAGCCACCAGTGCGCGCCCTCCGTCCCTCCCTGATCCGTCTGCAAGAAGATGTCATCCGCTAGCGGCCGGCTCGTCAATCTGATGCTATGATGAGTTTGTGGACTGTGGCTATTGAAATTTTAATATATTCTTACTCAGTGTCTTGTGTTTTTTCAATAGAGTACCAACTCCATCCGGGTGGTGCAGCACCCCGCTCACCCGCTGGGTCCCCTGCGGGAGCGGGGGCGGGTGAGGTTTTTCACCCGGTTACCAATGCGGGAACGGGGGCGGGGGGAAAATGCGGAGCGCGGGGGCGTTCCTGTCTAACCCGGCCCTGCCCCACCCCGCTGCCGGGTTATATGGGACTTAATTTGGGTCACGGCCCTTACATTTTTGGGAAAATTTCTTATATTGTGCTCAAAGTTCATAAGTTTTCTTATATGCTATCAAAATTTTGCTAGTTTCCTCCTATGTATCAACGCTTCAAAATTTTCTTCCCCTCTATGCTATCCATGTCATATCACAACCATTTTAGTGACATGTAAATATTGATGAAAAACACGAGGCCTGGGAGATCTGCTTAACTCCAGTGCAGGTCCAAACTCGCCTTCGGGTATGCTAGCGTGCCAGTTGATTTGATCCTGCAATCAACAAGAGATAAAGACAAAGAAACCGTGGTTAAATCCATAAATGATAGCCGATCGGCTTGGTGCCGATGACATATCATTTATCTTCGAGCCGATGTCATATGTAAATCGATCGGCAATCATAAATAGGTAAGAAAGACTAAATCTACTCGATCGGCTGTAGATATTAACAATATATAATCCTCATGTATATATATACTTGAATCAAGTGATTGGGATAGATCGGTCGCCATGCCGAGACAATATAAATCACTTAGACCGAAATATATACTAACAACGAGACTATATATGTTCATAGCATAGTCGATCAGATAGATCTAGTATGTATCGGCTAATACTTCGATACCGCTCTACGTTAAGATATTAAAGCAAGCAGAATATACCAAACGAAAGCCTAATATACCTAGATGCAATAAGATCTTGACATAAAGGGCAGATTTAACATGTCAATAAAGCATATGAAGCAAATTTAGTTAAATCAGGTAAGATCGGCTGAAACCCCGACGCTACCCTAATCGGCAACCAAGAAGCAGGCTAGAGATTGAGATTCTAATCATGACTCGTAAGATCAAACAACTGATGCAGCTATAAGTATGAAAAGAAGGACAATATCTAAACAATCAAGCCATTGGAAATTTCATAGAGTGGTAGATATTGTATATAATCTAAGCCAACGTTGATATTTAACCTAATCGGCTGCCCTCTATTGATAGATGTTAGCCGATTGTAGTTAGATAGCAATATTGCCAGAGATTATATAAAATATATGATAACTTGACGAATTACATAAACAAGATTAGAATATCATAAAGATGGAAGCACTAATCCCGAGAACGCAAGCCGTCATAACAAGTTTTACCTCTTGTTGAAGATCGAAACCAATGCAGCTCAACCCGGAAGCAAGAACTCGTCGAAATAAACTAAAGCAAAAAGGGTGGCGATGCGCCGAGATTGTATTGAACATGTATGTTAATTTGATTACATGGGGCTCGGGGTCTATTTATACCCGAGATTACAGAATATGTCCATATCGGACACGACTCTTATCTCTAACAAACTCTAAAATACCATAAGTCTTTGCGGCAGACTTTTGCCCAAACATATCTCTAAGGAATTTACATAAAATATCCTAATTAATAGATACAATTGCCTTCTCAGGACTCTATCCATGCGTGGCAATTATCTTGAAGCATATCAATCTGACCCGATGTCGTACACCAAGTCGTATTGTCGGAATCGGCTATATCACCTAACCCAGTCTGACTCGGACTTAGCCGATCCCAATCGTAGCCGATTCGGACTTCAGCCGATTTCTACTCTGTTTCCGCGACGATCTTCACCTTTGATTCCGCTTCGATCTACTCTTTGTTTCCAATACCAATATTTCCAAATTTGGTTGTTAAAGTAAAGTACGAAATTAACCGTGTTGACGATCTCTCTCATTTCCTTCTTCAACCTCATATTTCCCCCTTTTAAGTTCGTAGAACCAACAACTTGAAACTGGCTCGGTAATACTAGGTTGATGCAAGAGTAGAGACTAGAGTGGCGGCACGTGTCCTGCATTGAGCGAGGACCAAGCAGTGTCAAAATTAAATAGAGGATCCAATAGAAGATTAGAAGAGAGGAAGAACACAATAGGTTAGTTTTGCCACTTTTCTGGCGACTAGAATGGTGGCCCACGCGATGCGTGGGCATTTATATTATTAAAATATGCGATTATAGTTTCTTTGAAAATTATATCTCATAGGGGCAAACTATAGGTTGGGCATATCTAAATATCATTCATCGACTACTTAGAAGATAAGATAGATCAAGGTCATATGACATCGACTTTTGGATCGAGTAAGTAAATATCATGTATACCATCTGAACACATAAATATTGCTATAAACATAAAAATATTGCTATAAACATAAATTGTGATAGCAAGAAACTCAAAGTTATTGTAATTGAATTGCCTTGTGAAGATACATGACTTAGTAACAACAAATTAAGGATAGATATGATTAACCGTTGGAATGTTTTTCCCATAGTAGAAGTTTAAAATTTTTATATTTTTCCACAATTTTAAAGAATTAAAGGCTTTTTATGTTCCCGTGTGCACGGAAAGTTTATGTGCATAGAATATAGAATATGTTCCCGTGATGCACGGGTTAACTCTTCGGAAATATCTGAAGAGATTGTGTACACCATTAATTGGAACTATAATAAACAATTAATAATATTTAGTACCTGTAAAAAGACTAATGATTTTTTTATAAGAAACAATGGAATGAAAATTTTGCTGCCACGTACTAAGATTGCAACCACATATGCAAGCAAAAGAAAGGGCCACAAGCAACAGAGGAAGGCCCATTCTCATTAGTTAGCATGATAAATTTCCTAGCACAAATCTGCAACGGGCCAGTGAAGAATGAGCAGTATCAACCTTTTTTGTTTATTTTAGTCAGGTCTTCCTCCTGAAAAAAGAACAATTGAACAATATTCTAGTACACCAAATCCCAGTAGAAAACCTGAATAAATATAAGCACAAATCTCAAAGGAAAAGCGAGGGAATTCAGTAGCATGTCCCTCTCCCTTGTGTGGCTTCGTGTATCCTTCTTTCCCAACTTGAGAAAAACAAACACCCAAAGCAGGCAAACTCAAACGTTGATTAATGAAAGAAAATACTAATACCATCATAATCATTGGGGCACTGAACATGATGACAAGAATCAAAATAAACAACGACAGGATCCTTTTCCGGTTTGGCCAGTACATGTCGACCCGACAACGAACTTTGACAGCAATATGAATGCCTAACTTTGTAAGTATGTTCTCAATGGAAGCTTCTGTGGATTGCTTTTACATTCAACCAAAGAAAAGCATACAAGGTTGTTCTCCCATCTGTCCATCAAAGTAGAGCATAACTTTCACACTAGACAATCACAAAACCACTGCATAAGCAATTCACTTATGCAGAAATATATATCAGAATTGTTTAGACCATTTTGAAATGCAAATATTTTATACGTGTTGTAGTGCTTGAGCCAAAAGAAAATTTGTGAAGTCTAAGTGAGCATAATAGGTATTAGTAATTAGGGCTTTAAATTTATAATTTGCTATTCTGGATTTGGCTATGTAGAAGATCCTCTCCACCACGGATTTAGATCTACCCAAAAAGTATTTTGTTGTGCTCTAACTCCACAATATCAATAAGGTGAGAGTAGGCAGAATTATGGAGTTGGGTCAAGGCTGCTTCTTCTCTATAATTGTTTTTTTATTATGTTCTAAGTTTTGCTCAGCTCTTCATGTTTCTCATAAATTTAGGGCTTGTTTCATAGCACTAGATTTAGTTGCAAAACAACAACGTTACATAACTAAATTTACAATTCTTAATTATGATAGTTTCAGCCATTGTAGTAGCTATATATGCTACAACACCTAGGATAGCCGAACATGTCCTCATTTGTTCGATTTAGCTCTACTGCCTTCTAACATGGATTTAAGATTTTGGGTCTATTTGGTAGAACTTCAACTCCTAAATTTAGCTCCAGGAGTTAGTCTGGAGTAGAGTTGCGGAGCAGGTTAAACCCAGTTTCACCTCTCTAGTCCATTTTGTGATAGCGCTCTACCCAGTTCTGCTTCCATTTTAGGTGAAACTTTTGATTGGACTGTAGCTCCAGAAGAGTTGAAGTTGGATTGTGTCAAACAGAGTCTTAGAGTTGTACCTATTATAATTTTTTTTATAATAAAATAACTCTAAGTGTAACTAAGCTTTTCTTTCGATGGTTTTCTCGACAGGTCGCATATAAGTGTAAAACCAACCAAGCAGAAAACTGAACATCACATCTTTACACACCAGCAGCAAGTAGCACTAGCAACCAACGCAGCCGTGCCCAACATTTGCTCTTCGCAGACAGAGAGATAGCTGACGGCCACACAACACACACCTCGCATAAAATCCCATAAAATCTCTCCCTCTCACGACGCGATCCACCCGCGCGTCGGCCCGCTCGAGCCCAATTACGGCCCGAGACGCGAGCCCGTAGCCGCCAAGAAGAAGAAAAACTTCACCTCGGGCGGCCGCCGCCGCCGCCGCCGCCGCCCTTGATGCGCCTCTGCTCCAAGCTCGCGGCGCTGCTCCGGAGGTCCCGCCAGTTCGCGCCCGCAGCCGCCGCCGCGTCCGGGTCAGCGACGGCCGCGGCCGCGTCGGCGAACGGGATGGAGGAGGCGGCCGCGGGCCCGCTGCGGGCGCGCGTGTGCATCATCGGGAGCGGGCCGGCGGCGCACACGGCGGCGGTCTACGCGGCGCGCGCCGAGCTCAAGCCCGTGCTCTTCGAGGGCTTCCTCGCCAACGACATCGCCGCGGGGGGGCAGCTCACCACCACCACCGACGTCGAGAACTTCCCGGGCTTCCCCGACGGCATCCTCGGCGCCGACCTCATGGACCGCTGCCGCGCCCAGTCCGTGCGCTTCGGGACCAGGATCCTCACCGAGACCGTCACCGCCGTCGACCTCTCGTCCCGCCCCTTCCGCGTCGCCTCCGGCGACACCGTCGTGCACGCCGACGCGGTCGTCGTGGCCACGGGCGCCGTCGCGCGCCGCCTCCATTTCGCCGGCTCCGACGCATTCTGGAACCGCGGCATCTCCGCCTGCGCCGTCTGCGACGGCGCCGCGCCCATCTTCCGGAACAAGCCCATTGCCGTCGTCGGCGGCGGGGACTCCGCCATGGAGGAGGCCAACTTCCTCACCAAGTACGGCTCCCGCGTCTACATCATCCACCGCCGCAACGCCTTCCGCGCGTCCAAGATCATGCAGGCCCGGGCCCTCTCCAACCCCAAGATCCAGGTCGTCTGGGACTCCGAGGTCGTCGAGGCGTACGGCGGCGCCGACGGCGGTCCGTTGGCCGGCGTCAAGGTCAAGAACGTGGTGAGCGGCGAGGTCTCCGACCTCCAGGTCGCCGGGCTCTTCTTCGCCATTGGACACGAGCCGGCGACAAAGTTTCTCGGCGGGCAGCTCGAGCTGGACTCCGATGGCTATGTCGTGACCAAGCCCGGCTCCACTCACACCAGCGTCAAGGGAGTCTTCGCCGCCGGTGATGTTCAGGACAAGAAGTATCGCCAGGCCATTACTGCCGCGGGATCAGGTATACTACTCAAAGCTTGTAATACCACCAGAGTATGATGCACATTTGTGGCGATTGGAGCATATTGACTTTGATAATTCAGCAATGCAATTACTTGGTGTATCGGCATTCAGATCGAAGACCTTCACAGGCTCAATGCTTGTCTGAGGAAAGGGTCAGGGGTAAAACCATAACAGAATACCTTTCGTTTTCTGGTGATACTAGCTAAAATGCCTGTGCATTTACTATGGGAGTGAATAATCTATGTGTTTTTAAAAACAAACAATGTGGTTTTTGCATTAAACATGTCCATCACCCATTTTTGTTCACAAATGTCAACTGTGAAATTAACTTGTGCATATAGATGGAAATCCAAACATCTTAGACTTAGCCAGGTTAAAATTATGATTTTACGAACTTAAAGAACACCTATATCTCTACTATACTTGCAAAATACCCATTCAAAGCAGCCATATTTGCGCATCATAGGTGGGTACGGGTACTATGAGGATATAATGTGCTATGTTGGTTCGCTAACAGTCCGAACTGGCGGATTGTTGTGAAAATGGCAATAACAAGAAATGTCTAATTGAACAATAACATAAATGAGAAGCACAAAAAAGTAGTGCACTTATGCATAATGGGGTTTGTCTTGGTGGCATAAACAGGATTTTCCCTAGATGAAATTTGCTTTTTTAGAAAGCCAAATAAGAATAGAATAACTTATGGAAAGGACTTGTATATAATATTAAAGAAATTCGGTGAGCAATCCATAAAAAGTTTGTGTGGACTGTGGAGGTGAAGAGATGGTTGGTTCACTGCCATGGACCGCTAACTATGCAAGTTTGCGCAGACATATTATGCCTCCTTTATAGGTTATTTTTGGTTAGATTGCTAGCTGTGGTAACTTTGGTATTACAATGCTGTGCTAAGGGTTGTTTGTGAAGTTGATTGAGGAATATAAGCTGGCAACATGGAATTTATTGCTGTTAACACATTCATATGGGAATTTCTGGAGCAATAACAGAACACGTAGTATCCATCCATTCTTGAGATGGTTATGCTGGTAGTGCATTTGCCACCAACACTGCAATTTGTGGTGTCCAAGATGATCAAATTGTACTGTATATATGTAGCGTGTAAGTAAATTTTTCAATTAGCATGTGCAAACAGAACATTAAAACCAAAAAAGAAGGGGAAGAGCATGTTTGATTCTATCTGCATCTGAAATATGAAAATTTTAATCTCCTTCCGGTTTCTTAGGAATTGGGTAGGAATTGTTTTTTTAATTAGGGTGTATACATGGCGTGTTGTTACTACTTACTAGCACTTCATACTGCCTGATTGGAGTAGCTGGATCTTAAATCTGTGTCTTAAACCTGAGAACAGGATAAGCCTTCTTATCAAACAGGATCTTGAAAACATCTGCTTGCTCATTGTTTAGTCATGAGATTCCCTCTCTGTTGTTTGTAAATAACATTCAAAGATTTGAGTTCCTCGGAGAGTTTCAGCTAACGGTAGGCAGTAGCTTTAAACTTAAAGAAGTCTATCATTAACTCACTGCACATGCAGATAGGACTTACCAATGCTGCTGATTTTTCATTTGGAAAGATCAAGTTATTGGACAATTAAAGAACATATGGATTCTGTATCAAGGGCAATTCTCATACTGGCAGAAAAGAAACTATGCAACATCTACTTGCTTATAATCATTTGACCTAACTCACCTAATATGGCAACAGTTAGGGGGCCCCATTACCCATTACTTGTCTACAGCTTTTTTTGTATGGCCTAGTTTTTATGAAATGCTAAATACAAGCTACATATGATCAGAATATATAGATTATTTGAATCATGGTTAGATCTGTATAGATCTAGCTTGAGTACGAGTGAGTCTGTGAGGAAATTATTAGGGGTTCACCTTTTAACTTTTTTCGATCAGTTTTTGTGAAGATACGGTACCTCTGTAAACAGTAGTGTTGATACATATAGGATGCTGGATGGCATAAACATGTTTCACTCTATTTCTTTTGCTCGAATTTGTTAGTCATCACCTTGGAACTGTATTTGCCTTTCCTATATATTTTGATGGTTTCATTTTATAGTGATTGAATAACTGAAAGTCTTAAACACTTAAGAGTCAACAAGATGCCAAGTTTAACTTCACCATAATACTGCAGTGAATGATTAATTTTAAGCTTTGATCGCAAACAGAAAGTAGAATGGTAAAACCAAGAGAAATTGAGTACTTGGATGAAATGCTAAGGGTGGGCAAAATATTGAAGTTAAAGAATGCGTTCATAGTGAAAATTTACACAAGGCCAGAAGGCACAATGAAGTTTGTATAACCACTTATGTGACTGCATATGTATGGTTCTTAATTAAAAGAGGTAAAGTAATAATATACAAATCGGCAAGTGTAGGATAAAAGCATTTCCTTTTTGAAAAATGTTTGCATTAATTGCTTCAGAATATGGAGGGCCAAAAGCCATTTACTCTGTTGAATCCCCCAAACTGACCTGCTTGGCCAAGAAATAGTTTACATTGACATGGCGTCTATTTGTTACTAAAAGGTCCACTTTTTGAAAAGAAAAGAAAAGAACTGTGCAACTTTGTCCATTCTGTTAGCTGTTCCCCAAAGCTGTGATCTATTGCTTGAAAATCCATCTCCGGAGAATTAGCTTATCCCATTGATATATGTAATTTCTGTGAACAAAATTTATGATAAACACGTCTGATGCAGGTTGCATGGCGGCGTTGGATGCGGAGCACTACCTACAGGAGATTGGAGCACAGGAAGACAAGACTGATTGACTATATCTGGGACAAGCAGGTCGCAGTTCTTCAGCTACTTCATCGTCGGTAGCAAGAGCTGCACTCTAAGGCACAAAGTTGTTAATTGTGGTTGCTCAACCAAAGAAAAACAGATTGGTATTTGTCTGTAGGCCTCAGATTCATGATACGTTGTTAGAAAAATGATTCATGTGAGCACTCAGAAACTTGTGTTACAATTTCATCAAATTATGCACACTTCATGGAAATCTACAAAATCGTGAATCCAGAAAGGAAGCATTCATGTTACACCTGGTTTCAAATGAAACTTATTAGAGCACCCGCAATGGTAAAGTAAGGTGCTATCTATAAAACATGTACATCTCAGCAATAGACTAGATTAATAGTAAACCATCTCAATAGTATGTCTACATGGGTATCTATAGCTCTCTAATATATTGCCTCGTTTTTCTCTATAGACTATCTCCAGGTTAGTAGATAGCTTTGCTCTCTCTCTTTATTTAATCTCTTCCAAGTAGGAAAATATGCTGACATGGATTTCTTATAGAGAGCCTATAGATAACCATTGTGGGTGCCCTTAGAGCAGGTACAATAGCAGACTGTAAGCCAGCTATAAACACATATCGAGGAGATCAGGCCAGTTATAAACACATATCGAGGAGATAAAAGAAGATAGAGAAGCAGCGGGCTACATATTTGTAGCTAGCTGTACCACAGACTACAAGACACAATGTGTATATAATATATGGGTGTATATAATATATGGGACCATATATTAATAGTGTAGTATATTTTTTAGGTAACTATTGTATGAATTGGCTATTAAGTTGACTATAAGAGCAAGTTTAACAGTATAGCCAACTACTAGCTTCAAATCACGTATAATCAACTTAAATCACGTATAATCAACTTAATAGCTACTTCATACAATAGTTACATATAAAAATATACTACACTATTAATATATGGTCCCACATGTCATACACGTCTTGGAGTCCGTGGTATAGCTGGCTATAAATCTGTAACTTGCTACTGCTCTGTCTCTTCTTTTATCTCCTCGATATGTGTTTATAGCTGGCTATAAATCTGTAACCCGCTGCTCCTCTCTCTCTCTTCTTTTATCTCCTCGATATGTGTTTATAGCTGGCTTACAGTCTGCTGTTGTACCTACTCTAAGTGATTTGAAGTTAGTAGTTGGCTATACTATTAAACTTCTTATGAGCTTTGCATTGATCTCTGCAGTACTCCTGCGGGATGGAAATCAAAGCTTATCGGTTACTGTACTCTCAACCTAAATGGTGATTGGACATAACCTAAACCCCTTTTCAGATTTGTTGTTTTAGGTTATGTTCCATCCTCATTTAGTTTGGGTTTTTGTTTTTACGAAGAGAGCATGTTTAGGTATAGGTCATTCTGTTAACTATGTCATGGTATCGGCCAAAATGGATGGTATATAGTTTAAACTTTACTGATGTGTTCTCTAATTTTTTGAAATGTATTTTCGGGTCTTGAAAATTTTAGAAGTGTTATTGTTAACACCAAAATTTGGTATGGTTATTCAATGAATTTGGTTTAGAAAACAAATTGATTGATAGAAGTTTATTTAGATAAGGCCGAGTTAAAAGGAGGAATCGTAAAGACCACGACAATATAGTTTCATATTTTCTAAGTATATCTCTTAAATAGACATGATTAGTTATTTTATTTTTCTTATTAGAAAATATTATCTCGTATTCGATTAGAACTTGTACAAACCCGAGGGTATAAATATATATACATGTAGTCTTTGTAATTTATCAACAAATCAATATACAACTTTTGGCACATTGTCACCCTAGTTTTAGCTTTCAATGCTTTTGATGAGTTCTTAGTTTTGAGTTAGGCTACATTAGTATCGATCTCTTGCGAGAACTAAGTTTCATCAACTTCGCTTGTATCGGCTCTTTTCATAGGTTCGGAATTATAGTTTAAGTTTTTACATGTATCGCTTATCTGATATATCAGCTATTTTCTATATCGCTTTGCTACCTTGATTAGATTTAATATATCAATCACTTTGCATACAGTTTAGCGGCTTGTTTAGATATATCAAGCTTATCATTAAGTTAGTACTGTCTCAGTTAGGTCCGATCTAGTAGGTTTTGATTTGTTAAATAGTTTTGTTCGATTTGATAGATTATGTCTAAAATTTCATCAAAGTCTCAGCCGATGATCTATCTATTTACTATCAATTGAATCACCACATCGACTAATATTCAAAATTATATCATTGTCTATCTTTTATGTTTATTAGTTTCAGTCTTATACTGACTCGGTTTGATCCGACCTATCAAAGATTGTCCCTAATAAAGAAAAAGGTATTAAAATTATTTTTTTAGCCTCAGAGGATGATAGTATAATTTGAATTATATTATATATCCAAAATCCATTGGTTACATAGTTGTTGATCCGAATTCCATCGGCATTGGCTGGCTACACGATTTCCTATCGGCCTATTGGCCGATGGGCCTTGTGATTTAATCTTTTCTATCTTGTTAGTTGTATGATCAAACTAACTAGCACTATGTAAACCCGATTTTAGGACTTGCAATAGAGCTAAGCAGATCTCTGAAGCCTCCGTGTGTTGCGTCAGATTTTGCATCAACATTTATACAAGTCCAAACGGGTTTCAACCCACCCTGTGTATTGATATGGTATGTCACGGTGGCACCTAGTGCCAATTAGAAACAAGGAGAAAATGATGTTTTTAAATTAAAAAAATAAAAGTGAGGAGAAAAGGATGTTTTTATTTTTTTTACTACATATGTGGCTGGTGTGTGGGTCCTATTGATACGTAGCTTTTAACATGGCATGCCACGTCAACACAAGAAGTGGGTTAGAGCACTTCTAAATCTTTTTTTTTTGAAACCACTTCTCAATCTATATAACTATTAAAGCAATATCAAAGACCTAAACTTACATTTTAAGATTTTAGAAATCTATATGACATGCCTGCACAATTTCAGAGAATGCTTGATTCTTTGTCTTATTTAAATTTTTTTATGATTAATAATTTTATTGTTATTAGATGATAAAACATAAATAATATTTTATGCGTGACTTTTTTTAATATTTTCATAAAATTTTCAAACAAGACGAATGGTCAGATGTTAGACAAAAAAAACTTAAAATTTTTAAACAAGACGAATGGTCAAATGTTACATACAGAAACTTAAAAATGAAGCATTTTGGGACGGAGAGATACCAACTTAAAACAGTACACATCGAGTGGCATACCAAACAAATTCATGCGCTATTGACCGGAATTCCCGGTTGTTCGAATCAAATTTCCTGCCGGTATCGATTGGAATTGACATACGACTTTTTCCAAGCATGACTGATCATTCCGTCGACTTTAGCTGAGTCGATTATTTTATATTATGTTTAACTATAGACTCGTTTCATTTTTTTCTCATTATTGCCTTTTCAAAATATATTACACGTGGAATTTTAAAGTATTTGTGTAGTAATGTTTATATTATTGCAAGAACCAAACTGGAATGGCCCCTCCAAAACGAATTGATAAGCTGATGGTGTAAAAGGAAATGGTTCTTATGTACCTCATCCATATTAAGTGCAATTATAGCAACCAAAAGAAAAACTAAGGGTAGTTGAAAATAACTTAGATGTTCCTCGTGCAATGACGGGTAATTAGAAGTGGGAGAAGGTTGAGGGCAAAATAAGGGATGGTTGGATAGAAAAGTAATACTTAAAAGTGCATTGGTCTCTGCAATATTATTTTTGCTTGGAGTGAAATGGACCGGAGTATCAACCAGTGGTGTACAAACTATCTTTTCAGTTGATACCCCGTACTTTGCTGCAGGATATGTGAATAAATACATGTTATATATTATAAAAATAGTAGACTTATATGTTTAAATAATGTGAAAATGATACGGAGATAATGATTCGACATTGCTTGCATATTGAGCTACAAAAATACAACAAAATTGTAAATGATATGTCATTTTGCATGATATTTAAAATATATTAGATAATAATTGCTAGTGGATGATGATGTGGCACACTTGCATGTTGAAATTTAGAAGTTAGTGGACATTAACTTTATAGTATGATAGGATATTGGGGAAAAAGAATAATCGAATAAGGAATGTCAAGCCAACAAAAAAAATAATAGTTTTGCCTTTTTTTTCTAATAGCAATTTAATTACTACTAAGTTTTATCAAGACTTACTTTACTCCTTGACATTTCGATATGTTGGTTGTAAAATCAAGAAAATACTAAGAGTGACATCTAAACATAAGTTTCATGAGATATCACATAGGACTAAATGATGAAATGGAGGAGAAGAGAGGAGAGAAGAAAGAGGAAGAGCCACCCCCTCATTCAAGGGAGAACTTTTTCACAAACTTAAAAAAAATGAAACAAATAGACCAATACATTAAAAGAAAATAAATAAAGTAGAATTATTATGTTGTATTGGGGAAAATATGGTAGAGGTAATGTGTTGTATGTATTACTTCTTAATTAATAACTAGATGATGTGTATAAGATTAGAGGTAACTATCACCTCTTGCTCTAAGCCACAACTCAGAAACCCTTTTCTTTATTTTCACTGGCTAGCTATTTAACGGAACTTCCAAAATATCTCTACAACTCGGATTTTAGGTGAATGTAATGCATTCTATTGCCACGAATCTGGACATACTCATGTCCAGACTCATAGTATTAGGATGTGTCATATCCATCTAAAATCCCTTATATTTTAGGACGGAGGAAATACTTTTGTCACAAAATAACTTCAATTTTAACCTATTTTACACATACCAATACAAAGTTTAAAAGACTCGAATGTTTTTTTACTTTACCAATATAAACCTTTGCTCCTTTGGTTGATAGAATTGAGAGGAGGCTCCTGGGAAATTTAACTATTTGCCACTCTTGTGATATGGCAAATAACGATTTTCCACTCACTGTGTATGACATGTGGCCTAGTGGCAAATCGTTAAGCACCACTCGTAAGAGTGGTAGATCGTTAAAAGCCCCTCTGCTAATTCAGCTTTCTTGTCCTATCGAGATAGCCTTACACTTGTTAATTCAGTATTCTCTTCTTTGCCAACCTATTATATGTGCACTTTGAATATGCCAAAATCTGTCATTAACAGTATTGATAGAGCAAGAAAGCATTGTCTTTGGAGGGGTTCTGAGGTAAACTCCAATAAGAAATCTTTGGCTGCTTGGGACAAGATTTGCAAACCTAAGAATAAAGGAGGTATTGGGGTTATTA